CATGGCCTAATTACCTCTTACCTCGATGGGGTTGATGGAAATTCACCAAGCGACACCTGCTTCAAAGAATATGGTCATACTTATCCAGGTGTCCCTACTTCATGTCGAAAGTAGCACAAATTTCCATGGGAATTATTCACTCCTCTATTATTTTACATTGACATTTGCACATTTACCATCGCTTAAGCTGGATGCAAGCTTTAGATAATCCAGCCTTAAATGTGGCTACCAGTAGTAAAAAAACCAGACTTTACAATTTCCCTATTGTGCCATGTTACTAGTGTCGCAAAACTCCGTAAAATTTGTTTATGAAATGAAGGGACAATTCAAGATCGCTTATTAACTAAATGGCGCATTTCATCACAACACTATTGCTCTCTTACCTGTGCCTGCACGTCGCAAATGTGTGAAACATTTCTTTTAAAGAAATAAATTATGTCGAATAGGAGAATATCCATCAATGGTCATTCATGTCTTGACAGTAGAACATGGGGCTAATAAATGGTTTTCCTTTGGTACCACATTCATTTGGTGCTTGACCCTGGCCAAGAGGATAAATGTACAGCTTTTTATTCTGTAGACAGTTACAACTACTCCTAACCATAGAGTACAAAAATTTGTCTCTCTACGGCACTCTTCTGATAATATTATTTAAAGTTTAATGAGCTAAAGAAGGCACTCCACTGATTATAGCAATCTCATCACCACGCTCATTTAGCGTCCTACCAATCCAAGCGGACTTTCGATCTAACATCTTTCCTGTCATGTAGATCACCTATTTCTGCTTTTATCATGATGTCCATTCCACAAATATCCCGCTGTTGATAATTCCTATGAAACTGCCCAGTTACTTTACCATGATCTTTAACGGTGGATTAGTAATTTGATCGTTAATTCGACGCCAGCACCAACGTGGACTAGCACACAGGCAATGATACTGTAGAAGTTGCCAGAATTGTGCACAAAATTGGGTGCTGAAAAGGTAGTTGCCAGGACGGTGGCGATCAGCATCAGCAGGTAGCGTAATCAGGAGAATACACGGGAAATCGAAGGAGA